CGACAAACTGGCCCCACCCCCACCCCAACGGCATGGTCAGGGGAGACCACCACCCATCCTGGCCCTCTCATCAACAATCTCAGTGCCCCGCCTCTGTCTCCATCTGCCTCCCTTCTCCTCTCTGCCCTCCTCAGCTCCTCCTTCCTCTGGGGCGTGGGGTGGGCAACCTCGCCCTCCCTGTCGCGGTGCAGGGAGATGGCATGTGTTTGGGTCGGGGGTCCCGGCTTTGAGGGCCTCTGGGTGGGGGGAGGAAGCGGCTGGGCACAACTTCCTGCGGCCCGGATTGCTGGATCGCTGATACCCTTCCTCTTCTCCACCCCCCACCCCAATGCAGTGCGACTTCTTTAAGCGGACCCGCTATTACCGGATCATGCCCAAGTACCACGCGGTGCGGATCCGGGAGGAGGAGCGCTATCCGCCTCCAGGGAGCACCGTGCCTACCAAGAAGCACTGGGTCACCAGCTGGCAGAGTCGGGACCGATACTACTGATGTCCTCCCTGATCCCACCCCTGCTCCCCCTGGTGCCCCCTTCTATTTATCATAAGTTATGCCCCGGACGGTCCACAGGGGCCACTGCCTTTGGCTGGCAGCAGCAGACTCAGGCACGCGCCCCTCTTCGAGCACGCGCGTGGGCTATCCGGCCACGGGCTCCCCGCAGGAGGGCCGGGGTCGCGGGCCCTGCAGTGCTCACCGCAGCCCTGGGCCCTGGACACACGCGGGGCCCCCTGCTTGTGGCCTGGGCTTGTGCCCCACGGCTGGCGCGTGGACATGCGTGGCCCTGCCTCTGCCTGTGCCAAAACCAAGCCAAAGGGCCTCCACCAGAGCCAGGAGGAAAATGCCCCCGCTGTGGTGACACCTCCCCCATGCACACTGGACCCATCTTGAGCCATAGTCACTGGATTGACTCTGCTATTAAGTCTAAAACTACTGACAAGGAACGGCGCGCCGGGCCCCCAGCTCCCGGCACCCATGCCAGAGGGCGCGGGGGCCTGCCTCAGGTTGCCCACCGTGGCGTTTGCAGGACTGGGCGTGCTCAGACCCAAGAGCAGAGTGAGCTAGAAGGAAGGCCCCCGAGATGGCTTTCCTTCACGGACCTCTGTGAAGCCTCTCTCCTCGGCCACGGCCCGCACTGGCGAGGAGAGCAGTCTGGAGGAACAAAGATGGGCAAAAGCCGCCGGCCAGCTCGACAGGTGGCGGCGGGACTGCCCTGGGAACTCAGTGGAACGCTCAGCAGAGGAGGGGACCAGTCCTGGGCCAAGGAGATGTTGGACGTAGAGAGGAGATACCACTTCTTACCCACCACTACCGCGCAGGCCTCTGAAGGCCTGGAGAGACCATCTCCCCCCCCCCCCCCCCCCCC